GGTAAAGAAAATCCGTTGGGCATCTTTCTTCGCCTTTAGACAATAATTCTGATGGCAAAAGAGCCAAACGGGACAGGCAAAAAAAAAAAAAAAAAAAAAAAAAAAAAAAAAAGAATGGCATTAATTAGACTAGTACTGATACTGCAGTTTTCTGGCCTTACTGAGCAGTCATAGAACTTTTTAACGGTATAAACTACATGCAAAGTCACGTTTGAAAGCCTTTTAAAGTGTCTGTGTGGTTCAGCATCTTGCCCAAGGACTCTTTGACATGAAGACTAGAAAAGCCAGGAATTAAACCCCGACATTATGAAACTTCTACCACCATACTTACAACCGTTTAAATTAATCTATTGCACTTGTTTTTTTCTTTATATTGACTTAAATGCATTATTAGTGTTTAGTCTGTGAAATATAGAGAGCTAGATGCATGCAATGAAAGTTAGATTTTCTATCTATCTTAGGTCATTTGTTCCAAGACTAAAAGCTTTAACTGTGGTTCTAAAATATAAGGGAGCAACCGCTTGACTCTGCTAAATGATCAATAATGAAAAACATAAGAAGATTTAGAAACTCACCTTCAACAAAGTCATAGCAAACCGTGTGGTGGAAGAGTACATGTGCCTCTGACTCTAATGAAACCGCAGTAAAATATCAGATAGAATATTAATACGATAGTAACTTGGAGAATTGTGCAATGCGTCACATTCGTACTGTAAATTACATCTAATATTGAAGAAAACAGGCAATCTCATTATCAGACCACATTACAGATTCCTATTTAAATTCTACAGTCACTCGAGCCCATTTGCATAACCGTCACAACTCAAAAAATCTGGGAGAGTGTGTAGTGTAATAAGCTTTAGTGAAAGTTGTTGTTTTTGTTAGTCTGCACAAATTAAATACTTGAATGGTAATAGGTGCTTTTGCAGTTCTTTAGTCCTGGAACTGAAAACAAATTCTGCAATTTGCAGCCGTGCTAGGTTCATTCCAGGCTTTAAGCGGACATTTCAATTTGGGCAGAAGCATTCAAATGAAACGAGGCCAGGCGTCTCATTATATGGAAGGGTTTATTGTGTAAGGATTTTCTGCTGAGGTTATCTGAAATGGCTTCTATGATTATATGACGACACTTGGTGTGGCTTGTAATTAGTCTTGCTCACTTTAATTTTTCTGCTTTTGCATACAGAGCTAAATTTATCTATAATAAATTGACAATCTTGTGCATTGTTCCTTTGTTCTTCTACACTATCTGCTTATATGTTCCTATATGTGATGTATGTATTTTTTTTAAGTTCACTGCTAAAGTGCTACTTCCTATTTAGTATTCACCTCACTGCATCTCCATACTGTAATTGACTCTGAAATGAGGGGATATTAGTGATAAGCCCTTCAGGTTTGTCAGGCCCGCTTATCACCCGACCATTCGTCCTCTGGCTTTCATTTTCCATCCATCCATCTATCCATCCATCCTTCACCTCATGGTGTACTTTTCACCAACAGGCTCAGAAATCAATTTGCAGTCATAAAGCATAGGAAGAGGAGGAATGCGATCTTTCAGCTCAGACAGATTCTGGCGCTCTCCCCATGACGTGTTTGAGTTTCGATATAACCCAACAACATCTCAGAGCCAAGGCTTTGAAGGAGCACATGGCAGCTCATGCAATACGGTGGAAACTTGGAGACCATATTGGATTTGGTGTTAGTTGGTGTATGTGAGGTAGACAGAGAGAAATATTGATTTAAGCTAGATAGGATAATCTGGTGTGTTGAAGCATAATCTTCGCAGTCTGATAACTAAGTTTGAAACTGTGAACAGAAGGAGTAATTTCTATCTTCAAGTTCATGTGCTTTATCAAAGTGGAACTGGTAAATAGCAGTAATTACTTAAGGGTCAACAGTATATAATCTATGTGAATGTTTTTCATGTATTTAATGTGGGAAAAGAAAAGAAACAGCTTTCTTTATATTCAACCGAGTTTGAGGAGGTCATTTAATTATTTGAGTTTATTGATTAGTTTATCGACTAGATTAAGTTGACAATGCTTTCACAGTAAATTATTTACATTTCTGTTTTTTAATGTATTATTTAGATAATTTTATATTTATGTACTCATCTTTAAAACAGTGAGAATAACTTAACTGTTGTGTGGATCCCTCATATTTACTCGCTGACTCTATATAAAAGACCCTGAGTCCTTTAATTATTTGTGAAGTCTGGATTTGAAGCTTCAACCTGAGCTTGATTGGTTACATTGTAACCCAGGTTCTCTGAGGGGAGAGAATATCGTGCCACTCTATTTATTCTACATCTATGGCACTTGAGAGACATTGACACAGTAATTCCAAAACATACATGTAGGTGTTGGATTTAGACATAAAGCACTTGCATAGAAATAAACTCCGGCCTCTAGTGTAAAGTGTGTGAAGACTAGAAAGGTGGTATATAAATCCCATTCTACTTCATCACCTTCCATGGTTCCTGTTACTTCGTTTAGAAGTACCGTATTTCCTTTAATTTTCTCAAAAATCGGCAGTGCGCCTTATAATCTGGTACACCTTATCTATGAATTCTGGCTATGTTTACTGACCTCAAACCGATTTTATGTGGTGCACGGCGCTCAAAAATCTGCCAAAAAATGTTTTAGTAGGACTTTGCTAAGTTACAAAGCCTGATGGATTGTCTGAGTGTTATAGCTACCATAGTCAGGAGCCTCGCGGCTCATAGTAATCTGGGTCCATTTAATAAAATGATCAGTGTTGCTGCTTTACCAGGTGTAACAATTAAGTTTAACATCCAGGCATCCATGAAAACAGAATTTATTAAATTTAACGGAGTTAGAAGTTAGCAGGAAGTTAGCAGAAAGTTAGCTCGCTAGTTAGCTAAAGATGATATAGCATGCTCTGATTGAGAGGTTTCTGGGCAAAAATAAAACGTACAGCTCTGCTATCACTTCCAACATGAATGAAGACAGAAAACTACACAGCAGTGACGTTTGTAGGGTTACTGAAGTTGGACTAGCTGGTATATAATGCTGTGCTAGTGATCTCTAGTGACACAGCTATGTTAGCATACCAAAGCATAACACAGTGAACCTGGAGAATGAACGCTAACTTTTTTCCACTTGATAAAAGTTCCCGATGTTTTTTTTTTTGTTGACAAATGCAATCGCATTGAAAATTGCTGTAAATGGACCAAACTTCAGTAGGGGAGAACAACTGAGATAATCCAGCCACAATATAAGGTTAGTCATTAATGTAAAATAAGATAACCTTTATTAGTCCCACATGTGGGAAATTTGTTTTGTTACAGCAGAAAATGGATAGTGCAAAGCTACATAGCAAAAATTAGAAAAACACTGGAACAACATATACTGTTGTTCCAGTGTTTATAGAGCAGCTGACAGAGAATCAAACATTAATGAATCAATGGTACGGAAGTGGAGGAAGCAAGAGGAATGAGTTGAGTAAAGTTTGACTTATCTGACTGTTTTGTTTTGTTTAATGCACTTTATAATCCGGTGCGCCTTATGTATGAAAACAGACCCGTTTGTCGACAGTGCGCCTTATAATCCCATGCGCCTTATGGTCCGAAAAGTACGGTTAAACAGCATGCTAACATGTTAGTAATCTGCTGTATAGCAGATGCTCCTTCATAATCAGTTCTATACGAGACACAACTGTGATTGCCAAAATGATCATCAAGGTCTGTCAAATAAGACATGAAACAACCAACTATGACTACAAATTTCTTAGGAATGTCTTTACGTAGGTTGTAAATTAAGTAAGAATTGGGTTTACTTAATGATGGACTTCAGTGCAGTCAGATAACCCTTTCAAATCAGGATTTTTTATTCCATAAAGAAATTATAGAAAACTGAAAAATGCAAAAAAACACATGAAACCTGAAAAATAAGAAAGCATTTTACACATCATTAGACTGTAGATAACTCTTATAGGCTTATAGTGAAAATATGAGTAAGAATCAGTTGTTGACAGTGTTTTCAACTTGCTGGTATATTCTGGTAAAAAATCTTGAGATTTCCATAAAATAAGCTGAGAATGTAAATAGATTCATGCTTTTTCATTGATCTGATAAAATTCAACCTGCCTGAGCCATAAAATAGAAATGGGTATGGAAAAGAGTTGAAGAGGGCTTTTAGCAGACTTCACAATAACAATATGTAATGGGGTCAAACTTAACAGCGGATAAATGTTTCTCCCATTTCACTCAGTCAGTGTATATTACAGCGATTTTTAGGGAAGGTAACTGGCATGAAAAAAAGAAAAAAAAGCGAAAGCTGTGGATAAAAATAAAGTTTACACTTACTCTGGACACTGTGTGACTTGACATCCCTCCAGTCCTGTGAGCCCACCTCCTTGTACTGGACCAGATAGTAGTTGATGGGAACGCCTCCATGAGAGTCTGGCTTCATAAATGTTACGGTCGCTAGGCGCTGGGAGACAGCTGACAGACGAACTGAGTATGGATTCGATGGCGCAACTGGAAACACAAAAAATAAAGGCATGACACAAACAAGCTTACAATTTCCATGTAGTTATTTTCCTTTGCAATCGTGTTGTTTTGCTATGAAATAAGCCTTGTCTAATCCACTTGCATGGTGTCAGAAACAGAATCCTGTTTCAAAAACTTAGGAATGAATTCAAAACAACCTTTTCCTTTGCCTTATGCACTGACCGTGTGGAGAAAGGAAAAGACTGAGTAAGGCTGAAAGCACCAGATATAACCTTTAATTTTTCAGTTGTATCAACATCATTCATCATGCAACTATTATTTAGGAGTAAATCAGTGAATACTTGATGAGGAATTATAACTACAAACATAGATCTAAACACGGTAAGATAAGATAAGATAAGATAAAATAAGATAAGATAACCTTTATTAGTCCCACACGTGGGAAATTTGTTTTGTCACAGCAGGAAGTGGACAGCGCAAAAGTTATATAGCAAAAATTGGAATACAATAAGAATAAAATACTGTACACAACTGTACAGAATAGAATAGAATAAAATAAAATACTATATACAGTAGAATAAACAGAATAAAATATACAATAGATCTATAATAATAATAATAATCTATAAAAATAGAATACAAATGCTTAATACAACTGAGTAAAAATACAACTTTGTCAGATAAAGAGTATTGCACTTAGTGTTATTGCACATGTGTGGATGTGTGTGTTTGATCAGTTGGAGTCTTTGTTGTGGAGTCTGACAGCAGTGGGGAGGAAAGACCTGCGAAATCTCTCCATCCCACACCGTGGGTGCCGCAGCCACTGAAGGAGCTGCTCAGTGCTGTCAGAATTTCCTGCATGGAGTGGGAGATGTTGTCCAACAGGGATGAAAGGTTAGCCACCATTCTCCTGTCACTCACCACCTCCACTGGGTCCAGAGGGCATCCTAGAACAGAGCTGGGCCTTCTGGTCAGCCTGTTCAGTCTCTTCCTGTCCCCGGCAGAGATGCTGCCACCCCAGCAGACCACACCGTAAAAGATGGCTGAGGCCACCACAGAGTCATAGAAGGTCTTCAGGAGTGGGCCCTCCACTCCAAACGACCTGAGTCTCCGCAGCAGGTACAGTCTGCTCTGCCCTTTCCTGTAGAGGGCGTCGGAATAACGAGTCCAGTCCAGTTTGTTGTTCAGATGAACACCAAGGTACCTGTAGCTGTCCACAGCCTCAATGTCCATACCTTGGATGTTCAGTGGTTGCAGTGGAGGATGTTTGTGCCTGCGGAAGTCTACGACCAGCTCCTTGGTTTTACTGGTGTTGACGTGGAGGTGGTTCAGCTGGCACCAGTCCACAAAGTCTTGGGTCAGTCCTCTGTACTCCTTGCCGTCCCCATCAGCGATGAGGCCGACTATTGCAGAGTCATCAGAGAACTTCTGCAGGAAGCACTGGGTGGAGGTTTGCAGTGTAGATGGTGAAGAGGAACGGAGCCAGAACCGTTCCCTATGGGGCCCCCGTACTGCAGACGACCCTGTTTGACACACGGCCCTGAGTTTTCACATACTGTGGTCGGTCGGTGAGGTAGTCCAAAGTCCAGGTAGTGAGGTGATGGTCCACTCCAGAGTTCTCCAGCTTGTCCTTCAGGACAGAGGGAAGAATAGTGTTGAAGGCACTGGAGAAATCAAAGAACATGATTCTCACAGTGCTTCCAGCCGTCTCCAGGTGAGCGAGGGAACAATGTAGGAGGTGAATGACGCCATCATCCGCTCCAATGCCAGGCTGGTAGGCAAACTGAAGTGGATCCAGTGATGAGCTCACCAGGTGCCGAAGCTGAGCCAGGACCAGCCGCTCCAGGGTCTTCATCGCCAACGTTTTTTTGCTGAAGCTGGTTCTCCATCTTTTGCCTGTAGTTGTCCTTCCCATTCCTTATCAGTCCCCTCAGCTCTCTCTGCACCCTTTTCAACTCCTTTTTGTCTTTGGATTTGAAGGCCCTCCTCTTCTGCTTGAGGACAGCTTTAATTTTTGGGGTAATCCAAGGTTTGTTGTTGGAGAAACACCTGGTAGGTACGGTGTTATCCACACAGAAATTAATATAGTCAGTAATGCATGTAGTAAGGCTGTCGATGTCCTCTCTGTGGTCGTCACAGATCACTTCCCACACAGTCGACTCAAAACAATCCTTAAGAGCCTCCTCGCTCTCCTCCGACCATCTCTGTACTGTGCGGGTGGCTGGTGGCTCCCTGCGCACTAAGGGCTCATACACAGTGTCACGTAAAGGAATGTTATTTTTCTGTCACTATGTTATTATTCACATGCACAATCATTATTTCATCATTACTTCATTAGTCTGCATCACTTATCATTGTCATTATCCAGTTATCATCCTTATTATCATGTATCATTTACCACTTAGTATATTTGCCAGGGCACGCAGAATGACACATTCTAGATGCAATGTTTTATCATGCATAGCACCAGCATAGTGGTGGGTCCACAGTAAGTCAAATGAGGACGCTGAACTTTCGGTGGCCGGGACCAACAATCTTACACAACAGCACACTCGTCTTACACAATTGTTATGTTCCCAAATACTGATGATGGGAAACATCTGGTTTCAAGTCTGGGAAAGGGTTGTTGTTGTTCTGATAAGATGACTCCCAGGAAGTGTTCTGACGTCATAAAGGCTATAAAGCTTCCTGTATTGAGCCGAATGGGGAAGTCCGGCTTCCCGCACTGTGTAATACGTGTGTGTTTAATAAATCACTTTTTGGACACCCCCTAGGACTCTGACTGCGCTTACTTTTCTTTCCAAATTAAAAGAACCATTACAACAGGGACAAGGTGTACCAGGTTGTGGTCAGATCTGCCCAGGAGAGGGAGAGGTGATGAACTGTATGCCTCTTCTGCATTGGCATACTTTAAGTCCAGTCTTCTATTGTCTCTGGTTGGGCATGTCACATACTGGGTGAAGGTGGGCAGTGTGGAGTCCAGTGAGACATGATTAAAGTCCCCTGATATTATGAGACGGGCTCTCGGAGATTGTGTTTGCAGTCTGCTGACCACAGAGTGGAGAGAGTCACAGGCTGCATCCGCGTTGGCCGAGGGGGGGGGGGGAAGCTACGAATGTGCCCAGCCAAATTATTAATGAAGGAAAGAAAACAAACTATAAAGCATTTAAAGTGTTTATACATTATGCAGGCAATACATCCCACTGTTGGTGGGATATTTCAGTCTAGAACAAAGGGCCAGAAAGACTGACTGATTGACTGACTAAGATTTCCACTCCCATCAGCTGATGAGAAGCAAGCACCAGCTGATGGCACCGCTGATACCCTTCTACACATCCTACTACCCAAGCTACTGAATTTGCTCCTAGCTTTTCAAGCAGCTTTGCAACCCACCTCCACAAAAGCTCATTGTTTTCATGCTGTGTGTGAATGATCAGCCATTCATGTCATTCATACCAGCTCTGACCCGTGCTGCAATGTAGTGGGGGAGGGAATTCTTGTGTTGGAGGGTGCACACTGCCAAACAGCAGATACTGCAGAAGGATAAAAAAAAGTCTTCTAGCATGATTAATTTGACTAATGTGAAAACAAATGGGAGGACCTCAGAGTACAGAGGCAATTGTCTTAATATTTATGGACCTAACTTTGACATTTACACAGCAATAACCAACTCCACTGAATGTATTTTTGATCAAAGATAAATGGCACAGTTCCACCATAATAAAACTAAAGACAGACATTGTAAAAGATTAGTTTTCTATATTTGGTAAGCTTTCAAGGGTTATTTAGGAGAGATGTAATAATTCAGCTTATACAACGCCTGAGAGGAGCCTGTGTACTTTAATTTTACGTGAAAAGATAGGACATTAAAAACATAACATTTCTATTCATGCAGATTAAAAGTGCAGGAGCTGTGTTAGTCTTTTCTTTTAGCTGGAACAGACAGGAACAGAATCTATTCTGCGCAGGATGAGGATAGATATATTAAGAAATGGTCACAATGTCAGGTTTCTCTAAGTAATTTCTATTGTACTTCATTTCTTTGCTAGTTTTCCCTCATTTGTGTCACCCATGTTTAGTGTGCAACACCTTAGCCTTCCTTGATTCCTAGTTTGTTTAATTGCTTGAGTTCTGCTTTTTTAAAAAAAAATCCAGTTCCATATTTTTTTGTCTGTTTATATAGACACTGTGTTTTGCCTGCGTGCCGCTCCATCTGTCTCCCTGTGCATGACCACTACCTCATTGTGGGTTAAATATTTGGATTATTGGACTATAAATCCGTTCTCCTGCTGTTGCCTCCAAGACTGTTATAGAACTGGGTGGCAATAAGCAGTTTTAGCACGTGTCCATCTTTGTTCTCCTTGATATCAAGCTCACTGCAATAAATGCTTCTGCGTAAGACCTCTGAATATATTTCCTGCACAAATAAACCTTGACTCTAAAAACTTCCTGACATCACTGCCATATTACCCTAGCCCACTCTAGACTCTAGCAATTTAATAGACAGCAACTTATTTTATTTTCAGGTAAGTTGCCACATCACTTGACTGCATCACTTGTCCTTGGATATGTTTTTGATGTGACTCAAGTTGTTTTGGTTGTATTAGTGATTCTCACTTAAAACATCAATGCAAAATTCAGAGCAGTTTGACTCACTACAAACACACTTCCACCCTCAGATTCTTCTATCAGTTTATGATCGAGCTTTGAAGACAGTGTATTCTACATAAGGTACGTCTCAAATATCCGTTAAGAACACAAACATGTTCACAGTGTTTTCTTGTGTGTGCCTGAGTGTGTGTTGTGCTGAATTGTAAGAGTCACAAACTCTTCTAAAACCTACTGTTTCCTGCAAGACGACATTTTTGGTCAGCTTTTTGCTCACTACTTTTTTCTTCCTTAGCCAGAGCAATTCAATCTGCACTAAAGATAATTAGACTGCACTATTGTGTATTAGCCCTCGCTACCGTAAATTAGGGAGTACTTCAGTTAAATAGCGAGGGGTATGGTAAATCAGCCAGCACTATTTGAGATTAGGCGAGGCTGAATAGGGGTTGGGAGTTGTAGTGGAATTTATCTTCCTGAGAATTGCAAATAAGGCTATTACCATTAGTAGAGAGGTAGAGGGTTACAAAGTAGTTGAATGGCTGGAGTTACTGGGAGAACGGTTATTGAAAAGGTGCAGGCTCCCTGAGACGTCCACACGTTCTGGTCTTGAAATTGAGTTGCTAGCCTCATTAGCGCATTAGTGGCAGTTCTGCAGACTCACCTGCCTGGGCCAAAATGAACTCCTGGTATCGAACTCCAATGTTGTTTCTGGCCGTGCAGTTGTAGCGGCCAAAGTCTCTGTCGGACATAGGAGTCACCTGGACGCAGATAAACAATACAGTCGATCATAATTCATATTAAAACTAAAGATTTCACTTGGACTTTTCTGCTTTCGCTCCAACTGTGCTTGATATATAACTGTGCTTTATATACTAAACATGCACTGAATAATATGTGTTTTTGGTGTTCATAGGACTGATTTGAAACAGAATTATACTGATATGCTTTGGCATGACCTTAAAAAAACCTTCCAGTGGGGCTGATTTAAGACAATTCTGCAAAAACGAGAGGATCAAAATCTTCCACAGCCTTGTGAAAGACTTGAATGCTTGATTGCTGTTCTTGCTGACAAGATAACCAGTTATTAGGTTTGGGGGGTGATTACTTTTTCACACAGGTCCATGTAGATTTGGATAACAACTTTTTCTGTAATAAATGAAATCATCATTTAAAAACTGAGTATGGGTGTCTAGTTTTCACGACTTCTTCAGTTAAAAGCATCCTTTATGACAAACTATTCACAATGACCACCACTGGGGTTTCGCTTACTTCCATTAAACTGGGCTGCCAATAGAAACATCAAAATCTGAATTTTGTCAAATTTTTGAAAACTATATCAGTGTGAGTAACTCTTCATAAAGATCCATCAGAATTTATTTTCTTTTTAAACTCATTAAACTACAGGTCTGTCTTTCACTGTTGTTTTTATTGTTTATTTAATTGTTTTTCCCCTCAAAGAAGAAAATTCAATTCATTACAAAAAACTCCATTTCTTTTGCACCTCTGTTTGATAAACCAGACTGACAGACTCATTATTAAACTTTCAAACACATTTTTTGTCTCGTGACTCTAACCCTAACCTGGCTGCCACTGGAGGACTTGAACTCACCTCCAGCACAGACTTGCCCTCGGCGCTGTGCACCCTCATGTTGGCGGTTCCCTCTGTGGAGATAGTGAAGCGCTCTCGCCTCCACAGCATGGTGGCAGGTGGGTTGGACATCACGTCGCAGCTGATGTTCACCGGATTTCCCTCCCATGAATAATAAACGGTGTGGTTGGTCAGGAACTTTGGTATATCTAAACAAAACAGAGTAACGTCATGATTTGCACCCACCTCGTTTACATGGAAAAGGAGCTTTTTTTTTTAAACTAAAACAAGACCTGAATTGCTAAAAGAGTAATTGCTGGTGTGTCTGGAATTTGTGGCAGCCAATTAAACACTCAAATCAAAGGTGGAGCTGTGCTGGATGATCAAAGATGTAAAAAAAATAAATAAAAAATAACTTGCTGAGGCTTCACCTTAAAGAGAAGACGGGGGGGGGAAGCATTTAATTGCTGCTTCCTCAACTCCTTCGGCAGTGTAAAAAAAGAAAAACTTAATTGAAGCTACCTCACGCTATGGGTGGGGGTCTCCAATGCGATCGTGCCCCCCAAGAATAGGAATAAAGCATGCAAACAGAAGCTCATTGGCGCCGGCAAATAGAAAGGGCAGTAATGGACGACTGCGGCGGCGAGCTGTTGTGCGGATTTCTTTCGGCCCGGTCGGCCCCGCTCAGTCGGAGAGGCATTATGGTTGTTTTATGCTCGCTTGCAGGATTCCATTAAAGAGATTGATGCCTGGCTCTCTGTCACAGCCGAGGACGTGTTATCCCCCTGCAGCCTGCAGTGACTTAGTAAATGAGTTCATTAGTTCGGTGGTAACGGCTGGCTCAGCCCCTCTACACTCAGACTCACAGCCTGTGTCTCTGTGCAGAGCGCGGGAGCGAGTTGTCAGCTGTGGCTCCAGCAAAACAAGTTTGCAGTGTAATGACAGCAACTTTGCTTCACGGTTAGAGAGTGGGTGCGTGAATTTGAGATTGTTTTTTTGCTACAAGTTTTTCCTAAAATGTCAACTTTTCAGGAACCGTGCAAAACAAAATTTTGAGGGGAATCCGTGAACTCAAAAAGTCACCTCAGCCTGAAAAGGAGAAAATTGGTTTGCATGTGACAACGCAGATATGGTCTTCATTTTTCCCTCGCTGTCTCTTTGGATATATTTGTTTGCCTGGCCTAGCTCTTTGTTGTTCCTCTGAGCTTCAAGGTGGAATCAACTGCTACCCAAAGAAAAAGGAAAAAAAAAAACTCCACTGAGCCTCGCTACTAATGAACCTAATCATTCTGAGGCCAAAATGGAGATCTTTGCTTCAGAGCTCATTAAGCAGGGGAGAGCCCGCCCCAAATAACCCCAAACAACCAGCACTGAGGAATGGATGCACACGTTGGGAAGTAGCAGAGCTGTCAGCAGGAGAAAAAAAGAAAGGCGATGCATGATATCCTCACACTAATTAACCCTTCTGGAGGCAGTGTGCGTGGTGGGTGACTTGTTTATAATGATATAATGCATTTCAGAGAGGGAAAAAAAATGAAATAGCCAGACTACAAAAAGAATTATTAGAACTGAGCGTGAGTGAACTTTTGAACTCTGCTTAAATGTGTTTATGTGTCCCATTTCCACAGCAAGGACCGCAAAGAGCCGATAGAAAGGCAGAAAGGAGAAGCTTGTAAGAGGCTGTAACAGGTGACCAGGGCTCTGCAAAAACAACACTCCTCTGCATTTTACCCACAGGCAATGTTAGACAACTTGTTGTTTGAATATCTCCAGTTCTTGGAAGCCTGCTGTGGACTGCATGTGCACTCTAACAAAAAGTGCGCTCTTACATTCAATGTCCAGGAACATGCTCTTCTGATGACCTCCGATCCTGCTGAGCGCCTCGCAGTCAAATCGACCCAAGTCGGAGAGCCTCACGCCGCTGATGGTCAGCACCGACTTGCCGTGACGCCCACGAACTTCAAACCTCCCATCCTGGCTCTGAGGACACAAACACAACAATAATTTTAAACTCAAATCCAAATGGAACAGACAGCTTAAATGGCAGAAGTTTCAAGTAGTAAAGACAGCATATGTACTAGTAATCCCAATAAGCCTATAGCTTAAGCTTCAGACTGTTCTAAATGCTTCATTTCAGACAGTTTTTTTTCTACTCTTGGATCTGTATAATGTCATAAAGCAGGATATCTTTTTATGTGGTCATTTCAGACACACACGTCTGGCTGAGATCACAGAAATCATAACCACATGCTGATCAAACCTTCTGTTTGGGAGTGATAGGCGTGTCAAAAGAGAGTTCAGTTCAAGCAAAAAAGAGAATGGAAATAAAACCGAACGTCCCAAAGGAAAAATACAGCAGGTCGTCTTTGTGCATGTTGTGAAGCTTAAAACTTATTTTCACTCTCTGACTTTTTCCCAAACAAGACACAGATTGCCTACTTGGTCTCTTCTTACTGACAACACTAAAACCTGTACTGGAGACACACACTGGGTCTCAAGTTATTGGACGTTAACTGGAAAACTGCCACCGCTTCAATATACTACCCACTATACTGCAAGTTAATCCTTGTCTTAAATATGTACAAGGTCCTCAATATGCTATACTCACAGTCCAGAAATACTGAATTTTATTCAACACAGTAAAATGTAAAAAAGTAAAAGAAACAGTAGAAACACCTTTCAACTGTTATGAGTATCGAGACTGTATAGTTTGTCCACCAGAGGGCACTCTGGACAACTTTTCTGATGGAAACGTGTTTGAAAGGCGGTAAACCAGGGGTGTCCAACTCCAGTCCTCGAGAGCTGCTGTCCTGCAGCTTTTGGATGCCTTCCTACTGCAACACAGCTGAATCAAATGGTTGGATTACGTCTTCAAGTTTGCCATCAAGTTTGGCAAAGGCCTGATAACAAGCCATTCATTTGATTCAGATGTGTCGGAACAAGACTTGGGTGAACAAATAATGGCAAACAAGTACACAAATTAAATACACATAGCAAATGTTAGGGAAATGTTATTTATGTTTCATGTATTTGGAAGAAGAAAATATCCTTGAGTATCACAATATTGGAATTTTATATCAGCAAATATAAGTATCGGTATTGAAAAAGTTATATCAGTCAGAATTTACTCAACTGTATACCACAATAGCATAATTTAAAGTTAAATGTAAAGTTTATAATAAATAAATTCAGAAAAAATATAAATATAAAATATAATTACAAATGGTCAATTAAGACTATTTGCACACATCTCTTACATGATTGAGAGAACACATTTTTTTGTTTTGACCCATACATCACACGGTTACATGAAAGCTGTTTATATCAACATCTAAACAACATCAAGTCCACCTCCAAAGCTGCATGGCAACCTGATGCTCACTACACCAAATCACACACCAATAGGAACCAAACATGGATATGAAACCAATATGAACTATTAACCACCTCACTACTATACACTGTTGGGATGATTAAAGATGAATAATGATATGAGTCTATGAGAGTCTATAAGACTGGCTCTTTTCTGTATTTAGAAAAATACAGCAAAGATTCACAATTTAAACAAGAATTCATAAACTATATATCACAATATGTGGTAAACAAGTATACCTTAATATTAATTAGTTAAAATAAAAATGAAAACTTACATCAATTATAGTCATCGGCACTAATTTAGTGGTTTGAATTAGTTTGAGGCAGCACATAAAAAATAAACAGAAATGAGCATATGAAAAAAATATAAATGCAAACAAGAATTCAAGCCTAATAAAATCAACTTTTTAAAAATCCCATAAGTATTTATTTACTGACCAGACTTAAAAGAAAACAGCATTATGCCGTTAAAATACAGAAGATGCTTCAGAATATCAGTTAGTTTTAACAAACAGCCTTGATAAAGAAAATATTCGCAAAGAGGCAAAATATGTGCCACTTTCTGAGGGATTTGTTGGTTGCAAAAAGAATCCAGATCTCTTTGTTTCACTCTGATGATCTTAGAGCAGATTTAACAATGCTGTTCAGACTGTTGCGAGGCTGTGAACCCAGCTGACAAAAGAAATACTCAAAAGAGTCAACGCTGCAGTGTCATCAGAAAATGTAATCAAGACTCTGTTCTCCTGAGTGCTTCTGCATCCATCAGTGTACATAATAAAAAAGTAAGCGGTACTAGATGTATCCTTGCATACACAGAGAGCCTGTGGACAATCCTACGGGGTCAGAGAGACGGTCATCTGGTTTTAGATGTTGTTCTTTAATGTTTTATTGTTTTTATTGGCTCGCTCTAATCTGGCCCGGGGGAAAAAGTTGAAAATTAGCCATTCTGCCAGCACTTGTAGCTTTACAGTAACGCTGAATAACGTGCATTTTTAAAATACAATTTAAAACATATACAGTCTCTCTTAGCGAGTTGAAACTCAGGTGATGGAATAAAGCCAGAAATGAAGGTCAGCTTCTAGCTGTGAGCTTTTTTTGAAACTTCCAGACAGAACGGGGATGCTGAATCTGGAGAAGATAATAGGTCCAACCGTGAATATGATACTATTTTTCATTCATGGTTATGTAAAACTGGAGAAATGACAAAGCAGAATCGAGGAAGGCTTCGGGTCTGTCGCCAACTAATTTAGAGAAGGTTGTTGGTCCAACTTTGTTCTTGCCACCGAGTGGCGGCCTCTTTGCAGGCAATCGTCACTTGTCACAAAGAGTCAGGGTTAATGCAATAAACTGTTGATTTATTACAAGGTCATTACATCTGTATGAAGACAGATGGTATCAATTTGAAGCAACGGGTCAATTACGGCAGACGAGGCTATCATTCCAGTAATCGACATTCCCCCGTAATGAGAAAAAACACCTCAGGAGCATCCCCGCTGCAGACATGATACGGCCATAAGCCTTCAGACTGTTGCCATCAGATAACCTCCATGACCCCAGAGAAACTACTTTTCAGTGATGCTGGCTGTGGATGCAGAGTTGACACAATAGAGACCCGCAGCAGAGGATTTGAAGGTCACAGACAATAGGCAGAAGAACCGTTTCAAACATTGTTACCTTCCATCTCCGTTTCGGCTGATTTCGAAGATAATTTATCTCCTGTTGACGTGGAGAAAGACTCTACATCTTTGTGTTATGTGAAATGATATATCATCGCAATGTTAACACTTGCACAGGAAACACAGGTTTGATTCATTATTGCTACTTCATGTCATGAAGTTTGCTGACATTTATTTGCACATAAGGTATCGCCATGAATAGGAAACACAGCTTTAGTTGAGCTCTTATTATTCATAGAGGCTTGGTGTGCTGGAGGGTATTTTTAATGCAAGTACCCGCCACACCACATATGACACATTATGATAGCGATCTCTCCCAGCCTCTTGAAGCCTCTGTGCACAAAAAAGACACAGCAGCAGCAGATTATGATTGAGCTATCACTGCTAAGTAACACTGAAATGGCACACTGAAATAGACCCACATAATCAGCAGTGCTATGAGTTGTGTAGCTGCTTGTAGCAAGACAACAAAGGGATCATGATCAGGGACATGTCTGAGGGGTGAAAGACTGGTCAACAAATGCACTGACACATTTAAAGAAGCTTGGAATTGAGATGAATGTTAACCAACCCAAAGTCCCGATCAGTCACGATACCACTCCAAACTTTCACGCATCATTGCCAACTAATTAGTCAATTAATAGTAAAAAGTAGAAGAGATGGTTTTTGGCTCCAGGCTTGATTTAAAACGGGGTTCCAGTTAGTATTGAAGATGTGTTACTAATAAAGGAATTATTAGAATTTGTGAAAAAAAGGAGCGGGAAATCTGAGGCTGAAAGTCAAATTGAGTTTCTATTAAATCTGTTTCGTAGATGTTTATGCCACAGTGCTTTGCAGGCTTTTGTAGCGATAACTGGAGGATAAAAAAAAAATAAATCCTGTGGCCACACAGAACTATGACGTTCTGTGTTTTGACAGTTTGTGTTTTCAGTTAGTTATCTTCAGGTACTTAGCCACAGCTCAGTTGACACAAATTAAGGCTATATATGCAACACATTTTGATATTGACTGACGTAATCTTACTTACTTGCAGCAGCACAACAGAGCGATGATATAGAGGATTGTGATCAGGGACACATTTAAGGGGAAGTTTTAAAATGTCTGGCTAAAAAAAATAGAACACTATTAGCTTAACTACAGCAGTTTAATTTCTGATTAGTCCGTTTATACATTTAAGTCCACAAGATTTTGTACAATTACACTTTTACAAACAAGAGTTTTACAAACAAGCTTACGATGTTCCCCCTCTGGACACACAGCGAGGATGTCAGGAGTCACTGCAGCCACTGCTGTTTTTATTCCACCTACTGGCAACCATGTAAACCTCACCAGTCTTATTTTTCTAACAGTACATGTCTTCAGCATTACCAGTGAATAACTGTGGAACAACCTTTGACGATTACTAATACTTTAATACTTTGAACTCCTTTGTAGATAATGACTGCCTCAAGTCTATAACCCATGGACATTCCAATGCAATGGTGTACAAAACTGACAAATAGACAAAACTTTTTAAAAAATGTTATTATCAAAAAACACAGGGATCTGAATGCATATCACACATATGATATGCATTCAGACATAAAAAGCACACTTCAAGTTCATACGTAATGCTAAAGTAATTTCTAGGAGAAGGTGAGCCATAGCCCCAGGCTATATCTACAGTAAATGACAGCTGAGCGTAGACAGAATTTTTCTAATAGGACACAATAATATTTGACAACTTCTGTGATGAGATGGTCCACCATTTCTACTTACAACACTTTTTCAAATGAGAAAAAAATATACTTTTTCACCCTGCACACATAGCCACACGTAAATTGCATTACTGTTTCATCATGTGATTTTTTGGCAAAATTATTTGCCCCGCCCCCTGGACGGTCACATAAGAAATAATAAGTCTAAACATAATACTTCCACATATAGCTT